GGTATAGATAAAAAAAAACCTTTCATTCTTTGTAATGACGTAAGTATATAGTTAAGGTTTTGTAAATTTTTATTCGTAAAGTATACGGTTAAAATTTTATACGTAAGTATATAGTTAAGGTTTTGTAAATTTTTATCTCATCTTTAATTATTCCTTATCGATAGGTGTAGTCCCAGAAAATTAGAAACTTTGCAAAACTTCTTTTTTAAAAATGAGTAATAAAACTAATTTCCAAAATTATCACCTTATCTGTAGAACCATCAATCGTTCATGTGTTTCATCCCATGAACTTTGTATGAACCCGTGTAAAATTATGAAAAGTATTGTGCATAACATTATCATGTAGGTTTTTCAGAAGCATGAATAACCATCTTCCTAATGTTTTCCATTTTCTTAATATTTATTGGAACTTTTTTTTATAGGTAGGCTGCAATAAAAGAAATTAATAATTAAGTCTTGGGAAGTAGGCTTCAATATCTGAAAACTGTGCTTTTTTTAATCTTTCAATAAAAGTATACGCAGTGATTACCCCTTTTATTTATAAAGCAATTCTTTATACCAAATGGAAGCAAACTTCAATACTACTTATTCTGGCACACTACTCCCACAACATTCTCTTGCTAGTGGCTTTTTTGTGTAGTTTTCCTTTCACCAATTATAAAAATCATTTACGAAAGTGTTGAGTAGTTTAGCGCTGTGAAAGTTATAACTGGACTGAACACACGACTCCTCGTGATCATCAGTTGTTTATATCCAATCATGTTTACGTATCAGCTTTTTCATAGCGTCAAAATCTCATTTACTTAAAAATATAGATGTCATAGAACTAAAACTACCTATTTGAATATTGTATTTGTAGGAGTAACCCAGAAAAAAAAATTGTGATTCCAATTCTGTCCGGCGGTACCCTTGTACAAGAGGTCTAGATTTTTTACATTTGATGATATATTAGTTAATATAAAGGCATGTTAGATATATTATTTTTTCCATTTTAGGGCTACTCCTTTGTGTACGGGAGTATTTCAAATTTCCCATTTTCTAAGTTTTTTATACCAAAACAGTTGAACCAAAGATGCGTCAAGTAAATAATATCCTGAACTGAGATTGCTAGAGTGGAGAAATTTTGCATAAAGTCAAATGAAAGTATGAATGTATCTTAACATTCCGCACATAACTTGATGACACTATGAAGTTTATTGTAAATTTGCTTGGCTCGTTATTTGTCGATAGTTAGTTGAACTAGAGCAACGCTTTTTGCTGCATCACTGATAAAGGAGCTCTTAATTTTTACATCAAATTTTTTACATTTTATGCACACATCTACCAGAGGACGTGCGAACCATAAAATAAGTTGTTATAAAAATAAGTAAAATGAAACTATTTTTTAACATCCATATCACTACATCCAAACAACTTTTTACATCTTTCATTAAATTAGAAATGCATTTTTTTTTTTACCATGATATTTGGAATTAAGATAACTGGTTTTTTAGTATCATAGCAGGTAATCTTGATGAGGAATGATAAAATATGTTCAAGCATTTTAGAAACATCGGCAGATTCATGATTTATTACTTGTTTATGTTAAGGTGATTTACACTTTATTAAGAGATAAGTAAGCCTTTTAACTCTGTTTTAAGTAGTGCAATAGAATACAATTTGCTTTTTACATCTTTTTACTTTTTCCTCTGTATAGTAAGAAATATTTGAAACTGACTTCTGTTTCTCTAGGCAGTTCAGAACAAGGTCTTCAGCGTTTAATAATGTGTTTTTCAACCAGTTGTTGTTAGAAAATATCTTGTTTGTCTATTTATTTGAAAACAATTGAATTGACCTTAAATTAGCAATAAATTCAGATTTTTCAAAATCATTAAACTTAGTAAAGCATTATATTTTAAAGTTAAAAGCAACAACAATTTTTCTAGATTGCATGTGACGCCCTTTTCAGTTGATGCGTTTAACTCCATGAACTTTAGGGGTTCTAGTTTAATGACGTTCTATCGATGTTTTTTTTTTCACTTTTACTCCTCTTCTTAGGAGTTGTTTTATCACCATTCTCACTGCTTATGGAACTTCTTCTAGAAGATTTATTTAACTTATTGAAAGATGCTGAAAACAATTAATGAAGCAAGAAGACTGATAATAGCAGCTGTTTAGGTGTGTAAAATATAGCGCGTGACCTGCAAATATTAGTAGTGGTAAGATTTGTCATGTGTTCTAGAAAAAGATGCCCTATATATATACGAAATTACTCAACAACGTAGTTTTTTTACTCGACACGGAGTTTGCTTTCTATTCAATTCAAAACAACTTTTTATGTTTTTTTTTGACTGAAGTGGTTTCTGCATTCACCATTTTATTTATTAATTTATTCTGAAATTGAAGGAATTTATTTGTTTTATCTTTCATTTATAGGCCTCGATATAATGTAAACAGTTGTTCAGAATATAAATAGTTGAAAAACTGTGCATAATGAATTTATATTTGATAATAAAAAATTTTATGATTTATGAAAGAAATATAGAAATATAAAAATCCTGGAATAGTCGGGTATTTCTTTCAGCGCAGTCATTAACACATTCAATCGATTTTAAAAACCTTTTAAATAGATCAAATGTTTCAATGGTTTCTCCCTTGAGCCACTTCTCCGCCTCTCCAAAAGGAATACCTGCTACCATAAACAAGATCCAACTCTGGGAACCTACCAGCTCAAATAGCTCAGTTGACCTGTTGATAACTGGTAGCTTTGGTTTCCCCATATGAAACTACTTGGGTATATCACTCTTGACCAACTTTTCTAACATCTTTTTCTTTACCTTCTCGTTAACATCATCGTCAGCTAGTACCAGTATAACTAACTGTTCTGCTAGGTAACAAGCGTGCCGCAGCATGCTACAGTGCCTGCCCAAGTTTTGGATAGTAGTCCCTTATTTCAAACAATGACTTGATGGCAGCTAGATCATTTAAAGGCAACTTGTCAACCATATATGTTTTTAAAAACCAGGATCCATAGCATATAGAAACAAAGAATATTGCATTATTTATTATTTTCTTTTTTTCCTCATTCATCACCTGGACTACCTTCTTAGTCATCCTCAGTGTCAACAGGTATAGAGCATCTGCCATGAACCTTTAGAATAAATTATTATTAGTTATATAGAAAAATATTGAAAATGTACTCTCTTCTAATAATACAAATTATTGATAATATACTTTAACAATACCTGGCTGGGTCCCTTTATTTTTTCATTAGTAAGAGCCTCCATGAAACGTGAGATATTTCAAACATGTGTCGTCTGCAGAGAAACCAGAAAAACGGAATGTTGAGGATGTTTGTGAGGATGGTAATGGCTCCAGCAAATACTCCAGTGTTGGAAGCAGTAGTGTCACAGTATATGGCAACGGTCTGATCAACAATGTTCTAATATTCTAAGAGATTTACGATTATAACTGCCTGATCAACTCCTTTGGAACTTTGAGCTTGAACCACTCCAAGGAGGATGTCATTTGTGTTGTCAATACCTGGTGATATAACACTAACAGAAATCCTTCCAACAGTAACAGTAATATTTAGATTCTACTCCATCTCTTTTATTTTTTTGCTGTTGAAGTGCAGAACAAGTCTCTTTCCCTTCAATATATCCCTTATACCTTGCCTTATCTGGTCTCCTAATATTCAAAATAAATTTATTAGAAAATAGCTTTTTTATTAAATTAAATTTAAATTTTTGATAAATCTATTATTTATTTTTATTTTTACATAGATCCTCAATCATCTTGAATCTCTTTCAATGAACAGATCATCTTGAATCTCTTTCAATGAACAGATAATCTTGAATCTATTTCAATGAACAGATCATCTTGAATCTCTTTCAATGAACAGAGATGAACACATTCTTAAGATTCACGCCTGATTGCTTCAATGATTGTGGTTTGAGGTCGGATCCAACCCTATATCAAGCAGATACCACAGAAGTACACTCTACTAGATCCTCAGGACTAATATTTATCATTATCTAAATATTAAATAGAAGTGATATTTCTAATCTAGTTGAATGCAGTTAAATTTTATTTAACTAAATTTAAAAAAAAATTTATTTTAATTTTTTAGTGATTCAAACTTCAAAACTTTAAAAGATTTTTCTTTAAATTAAAAAATTGCCAAAGCCTTAGTAGGGTATGCCAAAGCCTTAGTAGGGTATAACAAAGCCTTAGTAGGTATGGCAAATAATAAACTTTTTTTAAAAAGTAAAGATTAACGAGTGTTTTCTGAAACAAAATTTGACGCAAAATTTGATTCTGGAAAGAAATTGCAGCTGGCATAACGATTAAGGTAGGAAAAGTGCTTTTTTCAAGATGGCAGCCAAAAATAGCCACTGCCTCAAATAAGTACTGAAGCCACAACTATAGCCTTTTATATCTCTTTTAATAGGATTTCAATGTTTCTAAATTCAATTCTGCAAAATGCAAAATATCACAAACCCAATATCGTAATAATCTGGACTTTTTATTGTTAAAAATGATGAAGCGCCAATACAATATTTGATCGAGAATTTGTTACCCGACTCACAAACCAACTGAATGAACTAAGAATTTTGCAAGTGTTTAAAAATCATAAATTCAAACCACTTTAATAACCAATATCAGCAATCACATTAACAAACATTCACATGTCATCACTCTTCACATGACCGAACTGAGTAATGTAAGATTGTTGTTCGAGAGTTCATTTTCTGGTTTTATTGCGTTACGAATGAAACATCTTAGTTCGTTAATTGTAAAATTCATCATTTTGAATTTCCCAGAATCAAGTTTTATTTGTCATCGCTGTTTGATTTCAGGCGCTATCGTCAGACGCGGATTCAAAATAAATTTCAGAAAAAAAAGAAAATTTCTAACCGAAATCGCTGTCACATGCCAAAAATTCTTAAAAATTCTTTGAACTTTAGTGTTAAATACTAAAAACCAATAATTAATTAATGTATAATAAAGTCTCTTACTTTGAATGAGTAAAGCTTGGTATCTTTTGAGGTTTGTTAAAAACTTTATAAGTGTTGTAATGGCAAAACAGTGATTGGATAAAAGGTAGCATGCCAGCTGACGGAAGTGCTCTCGGAAAGAAATAAACGTTTCCTTTGTATAAATAAATAAATAAATAAATAAATAAATAAATAAATATATATATATATATATATATATATATATATATATATATATATATATATATATATATATATATATATATATATATATATATATATATATATATATATATATATATATATATATATATATATATATATATATAAGACATATTTAAAATATAAAAATTAAAGTTAATAGCACAGATAATATAATATTAACATTTCTAAAGTATGATTTTAAACAAATAATAGCATACCTTTAACGTCACTTGGCTCAAACACCTCAGGATTTGCTATGCGAGTAACGAGTAGTATCAAAAAAATTGTAAGAGGCCATAAAATTTCAACTATGTTACGAAACTAAAAAAAGTGACATTTGTTTGAAGAAAAAAAATCTTGAAATAATATTATTTTAAAAATTTCAATATTAAAAGTATTACCAATGATCTTCTTCTTATAATAAAGTTTTTCCATATTATCAAGCGAACCTTTGACCAGAAAAGACGCATTTTTTGCTGTAAATATTAAACTAGTAGAATATTTAATCTTTTAGAAACTATTTTAATTAAAAAAAAGTTTCGTAAAAGTTTTAACATGTTTTACCAAGTTTCTAAATCTTTCCAGCAACGGTGAACAGTCGAATTTTAATCTTTAATTATTTGCAATATTATGATAAAGAGCTGATGTTAGACTAATATAGTTTATAAATATGTATAATTTTTTAAAGATACATCTTATAGACAGTTTTTGAGCTGTTAAAGACAAGCTTAAAATAAACTCGTTTTTTAGCATTTGCGTCATAAAGAAACTACTTTTGGAATTAGTCTTACATTTCTGAAATTATTTTTCAAAGACGTTGACCTGGGTATTAAAAATATTAATAGTATGCTTAAATGATTTAATATATTTTTAAAAAACTCAATTTTTTTATCAGATTTTTATCTTTTTTGTTTAACATGAGGTCTTTAATAAATAATATATATATATATATATATATATATATATATATATATATATATATATATATATATATATATATATATATATATATATATATATATATATATATATATATATATATATTATGTTGATTCAAAGATGGTGTTGAAACACTTTTATATTCATAATAATCACCGTTAGTATTAGTTATATGCTTTTCAGAATGTATGATATACTTTTTTATAGACCAAGTACATGTTCCTTGCCAAAGATTCGCAATTTTAGCATGGTACTTTTTTAAAAACACGACTACTGTTACGATATACGTTTTTCCATAAAAAAAATCTTTTTTAAGTATGAGAAAAATTTGAAAAAAGTCATTGAATTCTAATTTATAAAAAAAACTATATACAATTATATACAAAATCAAATAATAAAATGTTTGGGCTGCGGAGCCGTTTTTTGGTGTTAGAAGTAGCTAATTTCCAGGCTTGGAGCAAACTCCAAACGTATATATGCTCATGCTTATGTCATATAAGGATGCTTTAGAAAAAATTGCGATGATTGGAGCCTGGGAACAAAAAAGTCCGCTAATTTTTGCCCTCACCCTTCAGCCCCATACGTGAGAGGAACAAGTTTGTAAAATATTTTTTACTATTATCAATTAGACTTATATTAATCGATAAATTTAAGTGTCGTAGTATAATATTTCAGCGTTTAAAAAGTATGACCATATAAAGTTTGAACTCCCCTGAATTTAATATGGTTAAAAATTTTAAATGGTCATAGATTAAAAATAATTTATCAAGTTGCTGCTCTCACGTTTGGGACAGAGGGGGCCAAAATTGTAGGACTTTTTTTGTTTCCAGCCTCAAATCATCTTGCGATGATTTGAGGCTTGCAAAGCATCCTTATTTGATATAAGCATGAGCATATAAATGTTTGGAGTTTGCTCCAAGCCTGGAAATTAGTTTCTTCTAACACCAAAAAAGGCTTCGCCGCCCAAACATTTTATTATTTGATTTTATATATAATTTTGTTTTTTTTATAAATTAGAATTCAATGACTTTTTTAAAATTTTTCTCATACTTTTAAAAAGATTTTTTTAATGGAAAAACGTATACTACAACAGTAGTCATTTTTTTAAAAAAGTACCACATGTATTTGGTCTATAAAAAAGTATATCATACATTCTGAAAAGCATATAACTAATATTAACGGTGATTATTATGAATATAAATGTGTGCTTTTACTTACAAACATAAACGATAAAAACTTTTTAAAATAAACTTCTAAAATAAGTTGTTTTTGAAAAAAATTAGGGTTGCAGAAAAAGTAAGACTAAAAATACATGGGTTTAAACGTGGTAGTATGATTTAATTAAGGCACTTGAATTAATTTATTAAAGGTATAAATTAGTGCTTTAAACTCATTAGGAAACACCGTTGTTTATATTAATATCTATTTATATATGAGCCGTTGCACCGGCTCATATATAGATATATTTACTTTTTGTGTTTTATGCCTCTATACAGTGGCGGATTAAGACTTCTTGGGGCCCGGGGCTATTTTTGTTTTTGGAGGCATTTTTATGGATCAGAGCGTAAAAATGACTGAAAAATAAATAAATAAAGGTCCTCTGAAATTTGCGGGGCCCGGGGCTTTAGTCCCCCCTAGCCCCCCTTGATCCGGCACTGCCTCTATATCTATATCTATTCGGTGAGAATCAGAATGGTGTGTTAACGTTTTCTCAATTTGAGATTTTTATGTTTCATAAGATTTACTGTAGAGAAAATCCTACAAACTAAAAAAATAGTTGTCCGTTTCTTTACATAAAATAATTTTTAATTTTTTTTTTTTTGACTTACACTATGTCGATTCTCCCAGCTCATATATTGAACACTAAAAAAGTTTCTACCTATATCAATTAGAGATTTTGAAACCATCTTACCGATTGCCCCAAATTGGTTTCATTAGAAAGGCAATAATGGGAGGATGTTTTTAGACCACTAAAACAAATATAAAAATTTTCTTAATTAATAAAACAACTTAAATAAAACTTAAGTAAAACAAATATTAAGCAACTTAAATAAAACAAATATTAAAATTTTCCTTATTTTAAATATTAAAATTTTCTTTGAAATCAACTTTTACTATTTTTAATTGTTCACAACCTGATCAAAGAAAAAACGTATTTATTCAATAAACGTTTTACATTTATTTTAATTTGATCGCATTTGTGTAAATTTGGTGCTTAATACTGATGCCAACACAAAAACTGTCATTTTCATCAATTTTATTGTGGCTATCGTGTCAATTATGTCAAATAATAAGAAAATAAATGTCAAATAATCGAATAAGAAAATATTAAAAACTATTAAATAGTAAAAAAACTTTCGTGAAATTCGGTAGTTATTTTAATTATTGTTTGTTTGGTAGTGATAATGAAAATTTTAAACATTATTGAAAAATAGTCAGTAAAAATCTAAATCCAAAAACTAGAAATGTTATTTCGTTTTCTGTAGACAGAAAAATTATCTATCTGCATATAAAAAATTAATTATTAAAAATGCCATTGAAGAGCTGCAATAAAAAAGAATTACAGTTAATGGCGCAAATAAAATGGTGCAATGACGTTTACAATGGCGCAAATAAAATGAGCCGAAAGAGCAGCTAAAGCACCCTAACAACGTAAAATATTTTAAATTTATTAGGTAAAAATCAATTGATACAAACTTTAAATGAAGAGTAAGCTATCAACTATTTAAATATGCCAACTTGCCAACCATACATCTTAAATTTAAAAGTTGTTTCATCGTTTATGCTCTTAGGCATCTCAGATCCACCAAAATTATACAAGAAAACAGGACTTGCTGTTAAAAACTGAATTTAACCAAAGCTAAAAATCTACAAGAAAAGATGTTCTGATTCAATGTATTCCTATGATTCCAAGCGATTAAAGTTTCCAGTGAATCTGGATTTTGCCATAACCATCAATGACGCTAAAGTTATTAATAGTTATGGCAATCATACCATCAAACGCTGGTTCGAACCTAGAAAATTTATGTTTTCCGCACCCCCAACCATATGTTGCTTGCTCAGTTAAAGATGCAATGATCTGCCATGTACAAGAACTTGATATTTCTGATATATATATATATATATATATATATATATATATATATATATATATATATATATATATATATATATATATATATATATATATTAGTGAACTTAATGATCTGAACTTATAGTTTTATAAAGAAAATGATATGATTTGCAGGGCCAATGACACGGGTTTTGAAGTGGGGGGAGGGGTACAGTCATGAATTTCTAAAAAAAGTTCTATATGTAGAATTTTCTATAAAAAAAAAGTGGGGCACGTGCCCTCTGTCCTTTCCTCCCCCTCCTTCCCCCCGCTGTTGTCGGTCCTGATTTGTCAGTATGCAAGAGATTTATACCATCAGCGAGTAGATGAGCTGATGAGAAGTAAGCAGAGTTAATTGAATTGTTTGCATATTTAAAAATAAGGAAAAAACTTTAAAGAACACTTCGGACACAAGTTTAATAATAAAATTATAACTTTTAATATTTACAACACCACGTATACCATAATTATGGTATGCGTGGTGTTGTAAATATTAAAAGTTATAATTTTATTATTAAACTTGTGTGCGCAGTGTTCTTTATTCTAAATTAGAACATTAATGTTCTAATTTAGAATTCAAAGTTTTATGATCAAGGGTATCAAAAGCCTTTTGTAAAATTAATAAAAACACCTCCACAAAAAAAAAAAATCCATATTAAAATTTTTCTGATTTTTCAGTTAAACTTGTTAATGCTTGGCCACAAATGAGTTCAGAAAAGAATACACTCTAGAATAAGTTTTTCGCGAAGCCAACTAATATTAGATAAAATAGAAGTAGCTCTATAGGAAAAGCATATAGTTTAGAGCCATTTCTAAATGTTGGAATTACACAAGTAATTTTTGAAGTTTTAGAAAAAATATAATTGAGATATTAAATATTGTTTAGAAAGAACATTTGAAAATTCATAGCAAAAATCTAAAAGAATGTTTGTGGGAATGACGTTTTGAATAGACGCTTTAGATAGCTCCCAGTTAATTTTATTACTAACCTGTTTAAAATAATTTTAAATACTTCGTATGCTATAATTGAAAATAGTTTTGTTTGTGTCAGCATAATATTTATCTTTGAATTATAATTTATCCGAGATTAAGGTGGATTTACCAATGGAGGTAAACGATGTTGTTAAGTAAGCATAGATTGTACGGTGAATAAAAAGTTTAATGCAATTTTACAGGTTTTAATATAATTGTTTTTTCCGATTCTTTTTTTATCATAATATAAAGAAACTTTTTTTCATGATATCATATAACAGATTTGATGTTTGTCATTCAGGAATAGCTTTTTATCTTAATTGGGTTTCTGTTAAATATTTTGTAATTTTATTATTTTATAAATGAAAAATAAAGAACCATGCTTATTTTTAAGTCCCTAATAATGAATTGCAAACGCAAATAATAAATTTGAAACCACTATACTGTAAAATTCAAGATCTTTCATGCCAGCATCATTGATTTAAGGATTTTTTATGGTTACATTATAATGCAAGATACACGTATTTTATAATTTGTTTATTTGAGTCTTTTGCTACTGTTGTGTTATTCAAGTAAGAAAAGTGAACCTGAAAGATCATGGTAACAACATCAAAAAGAAACTTCAAAAACACAATTTTGAAAGTCAACTATTGCACCTGCTTGGTAAAAACAGCAAAAACATTGTAGATTATCTTGATAGAAGAATTTGTTACAAGTAAACAGATAAAGATGTGCAAAATGAGATTTTGGATATATTGATTTTTTGAGCTACTCTATCATTACAAGAAAATTTAAAAAACATTCGAGAACGCAAGTTCCATTACTGCTAATAAAGATACTGACGTGAGCAATAAAGAACATTTTTTTGTTTTCAAACTGAAGGTAAAAGTTTGAACGCATTTAAAGACTTTATTAAATTTTAACAGTTAAAAATAGTTTAATGCAATGCCATTGTACTTGTTAACAAATATATTCTGATTAAAACTAACTTAAGTTTGAATAGTTGCAGGGGTCAATCCTATGATATTGCATCAAACATGATGGAAAGAAAACTGTTGTATCAACTAAAATTATTGATGACTAGCAAAAATCTCTTATTATACACTATCAAAAACATTCACTCAGTCTATCAGTAAAATCATTGAAAAACACTCACTCTGTCTATTAGTGAAATCGTTAAAAAACATTCACTGAGTCTATCAGTGAAATCGTGGACTTAGGAATGTAAAATTTTGCCATTTACTTTGAGTATCGTTGGAGAATGTGCGTACTTGTAAAGTTCGCACCGATACGAGAACAAGATACACAGTTAGTGTAGAATGTATTAGGAGGGTCATTGATAATTGTAAACTGCTGTTGCAAAGAGTATTTGTTTAGGTAGAATATATGGAAGAAAAGCGTGATCTGGAGATAAAGGCAGGAGTCGTTGATTGCATATTGGAATCTTTTTACTTCTTTTTTTGACATTAATCTCTTTTTAACAAACTTTTACAATAAAAACAATGAATGTCTAATTATTTGTTTGCTTTAGAGAAAAAGGAAGTTTATTCATTTCAAAATCATTTTATTGTAAGTGCTAGTTTACAGATTTAAAAAGTTGTTGGACAGAAAAGTTGTTGGACAGATGTCCAGAAAAGTTGTTGGACAGATGTCCAGAAAAGTTGTTGGACAGATGTCCAAAAAAGTTGTTGGACAGATGTCCAAAAAAGTTGTTAGACAGATGTCCAGAAAAGTTGTTGGACAGATGTCCAGAAAAGTTGTTGGACAGATGTCCAGAAAAAGGAAAATTTTATCAAGAAACATTTGTTATAAGGTCCGAATACGTTTATTATCGAGTAGAATTCTAGTCATTATTTTCCACACAATAGGCCGTGAAGTGCAAATGGTAATTTCTGATGGATTATGTAAAATAATAAATGTATTAAGTAAAAAATTCTTTTTATATATTGTTTGTTTTTTCCTTAGTTTGTATGGCTTAGTGAAGTTATTCGTTTTATTTTCTATTTATAGTTTAGTATCATTTATATGGCTAAGTGGATTACTCTGTTTTTTTGACTAGAGACAAGAAGTATTTAGTGTATTAGACATAGAAAAAATTAGCTGAATAAAAAATTAAGTTGTAAAATTAGTTAAGAGATTAACTTAAATAAAGTTGTCACTGCTACCAATTTCAACAGTTTCAAAGCAAAATTTGATCAGGTTTCAACAAAATTACATCAGCAAATCATCTTTCGTGTAATCGAGCTTGAGCTATTCTGGCTAGCTGTTCACGGGCTTACAAAACACAACCGGTTCCATGTAATTCAACATCTGCTATATATTTTTGCCGTAAAAATAGTTGTTTACCTTCCAATTAGACATCTAAGAAATTATAATGAATTAAAAAGTAAATGATTGTTGATTTCACATTTTGAGGTTAGCAGAAAAAAAAAAGGCTGGATAATATGAAATCTGCTCAGTTTTTTATTTCAAATACAATATATAAACAGATTTCAATAAGTTAGTCATTAAAAAAATTTTCTATTTATTGCAAAAAAACAAAAGAACAAAGACAGCAACAACAACAAAAAAAAGACGGATTATCCGGCGCTGTATCAACCGGGCCAATTTGTCCTTGTGCCCTCTCGCTCAAAGGTCCTATTTATTAGGACCAATGAGCGAGAAGGCACATGGGCAATTTTTTTGAGCTAAAGAGAAATTTAGTATATATATATTTATATATATATATACATGCATATATATATACATACATGTGTATGTATATATATATATATATATATATATATATATATATATATATATATATATATATATATATATATATATATATATATATATATATACATATATATATACATACATATATATATACATACATACATACATACATACATACATACATACATACATACATACATACATACATACATACATACATACATACATACATACATACATACATATATATATATATATATATATATATATATATATATATATATATATATATATATATATATATATATATATATATATATATAGTGAAAAAAAAGAAGATGCTATATATATGTTATACTATAGCCCATACACCACTTATATTTAATTACATACCTTATATTATGTAAAAAGATATGTTCATTGTAAATATTATAAAATGGCAAAAAAAAAATAATTAGTGCTTTAAATTTAAACAAAAAAAGGGAAAATCTCCCTTTTGACTAGTTTTATTGTTGCAAATGATAAAAAAAAAGAAGATAATACCAAGAAATACATTGTTTTGTAAATAAATAAAAAATCTTTTTTGTTAAAAAAAACTTGAGTGTTGTTTGTAACAATAGTAATAAATAATGAAAAATAAAGATCTTGTTTGTATTTGCAATAATTTTAAACCAAAAAGCAGGATTCTTCATTTATTGTTCCATTTTGAAAATCGTCGTCGTCTTTGTCGTCGTTTACCTTTAACGACAAAGAGGGCTCTTTTTTATCAAGATCTGTAAATTCAATTTGGGATCGAGCAAAGTCAACAAATACCTAAAAATTTAATAATTTTATTAAGTTATGCACTGTGATACTATTTATGTAACACTATTTATATAAGAATAGTTTAAAGATAATCAGATTCTCAGATAATATTCAATATGACTCGTCATATTGAATATTATGGGAATTACATAGGGAATTGAATTGTATAAGATGTTTGAATTATATTTCTTTTCGTTTACATTTCGTTAAAAATTGTGGCCGAACCGTCATTATCATTACAAGTTGTTTATTTCTCAACGGAAAATTTATTTAAAATTACTTAACACAACTAATATTTACATGAGTGAATTTAAATTTACTTAAAAAGTTTTTTTTTTTGTAACTTAAGACAGGTAACATTATATATGTGTTTTATTGTTACTTTTTTGTTCATAAAACTTTTAAAAAGAATATAAATAAACAGTTGCAATATTTATAAACTGACATGATAAAAATCAAAAATTTTACTAAGAAAGAAAAAAAAAACTATTTAGATTTCTCCCACCTGATCAAGAGTACTTTGTGAAACCGAGTATTCATCAATAAATAGTGTTTTTTTGAGCAACTCTAACTTGTTAAACAACTGAGACAAATTTATTAGGTAGCTTGGATAACTATACTCTAACATGTTATGTCGAAGAAACTATAAACAGAAAGAAATTATTCTAATAAAATGCTTTATATATATATATATATATATATATATATATATATATATATATATATATTTTAATGGCATCTCAATAGTATGATAAATTTTATATATAAAATTGAAAATACATCATGTACGGTGACATACTATTAATTTAGCTATTAAAATTTTTTAATTTTAAATGTGATATTTCGGCTCATATAGTTGGAGCCATTTTCAAACTCAATATATATATATATATATATATATATATATATATATATATATATATATATATATATATATATATATATATATATATATATATATATATATATATATATATATATATATATATATATTTTAATGGCATCTCAATAGTATGATAAATTTTATATATAAAATTGAAAATACATCATGTACGGTGACATACTATTAATTTAGCTATTAAAATTTTTTAATTTTAAATGTGATATTTCGGCTCATATAGTTGGAGCCATTTTCAAACTCAATATATATATATATATATATATATATATATATATATATATATATATATATATATATATATATATATATATATATATATATATATATATATATATATATATGTATATATATATATATATGTATATATATATATATATATATATATATATATATATATATATATATATATATATATATATATATATATATATATATATATATATATATATATATATATATATATATATATATATATATATATATACGTTTAAACGTTTTATTTGAATTCTAGACAAAAAAATTGAAATAAAAACGGCATAAAAAAAACAATTAAAAAACGTTTTATATAAATATTAAGCAAAGTAATTAAAATAAAAACGGAAAGACAAACGTCTTATTTAAATTCTAAATTTAATGTAAACTTATCCTTATATAATTCTTAATAAATTCCGGATTTGTTATTTGTTATTGAGAGATCAAGAAAATTTAATGTGTATGAGTCACTTTCTTTTTCCATTGTATATTTGATACTTGTGTGTTGATTATTTAACAAGTCGAGAAAACATTCTGATTCTGCCTCATTATTAAAAGGAAAATCGATATCGTCAACATAACTTTTAAATAATTTTACACATATTGGTGGTGTAAGAATCTTACACTGTAAGATATTGTGCCTGTATTAAAGCTTTTTCTTCATAGTGTTGCTTTATTTAATATTTTATTTTATATAATTTTAATCAAAATGCTTAATTAATATTTTAAGAGAAAAGTGAGAGAGTCTTTAGAAATTCAGTATCACCAGTGCTCTCCAAATGAAGGTAGTTTGAATGAAGACGACGGTGATAACGTCACGTCGTCGTTTTGGAAACCTAATTTTCCTTATTTAAGACCCAAGATTGAAGTTTTATTATTTGTTTGTTTGTTTTTTAACGGGTTTTTTTTTATTACTTGAATAACGAGAGCATATCTATAACCCCTAGAAATATTGTATTTTATTATAAAGAATTATATAAGGATAAGTTTACATACTATAACAGATGTTTTAACTGTTTTAAATTATATAAAAACTTATCTAAGATGTTAACTTTTAAAAATTAAATTCTAAATAAAATAACTTAAAAAATCACGCTAAAAGAACATTTATTTAATTCTAGATAAGACAATAAAAAAAAAAAACTCAAAATTAAAAACGTTTAATAATAATAAATACAAATTAAAATAATTAAAACAAAACGCATAGATATTTTATTTAAATTCTTAATGAAGTTACGAAAACAACCCGGCAAAAGAAACGTTTAATTTAAATGGAGGCAAAGTAATTAAATAAAAACCGCAAAAAAGTATTTTTAAATAAAATACGGTAAAACGAGCGTTTTTTTTTAAGTTCTACAATATGATAATTCATACTTAAAAGCATTTTTACGACTTTTCATAAAAGTATACTAAACTTTCGGCAAGCGCTTTTTTATGCGCTCGCCGAAATTTTTGCTGGCGTGTGGGGCGAGCGCGAAAGCGCTAGCTGCGTGGAGAAGACTGATATAAATCTATATATATATATATATATATATATATATATATATATATATATATATATATATATATATATATATATATATATATATATATATATATATATATATATATATATATATATATATATATATATATATATATATATATATATATATATATATATATATATATATATATATATATATATATATATATATATATATATATATATATATATATATATATACGCTTTAAGCGATCGTCAGACGTAACAAACAACCATACCAATAACAAAAATTATATACAAAAAACAATAGTGTTAGCTTAGATGACGTTAAAGTTACAGATAAGAAATTTGTTTTCGTGGCGACATTTACATATTAATTCATTTTGTTTATTTAATTGTTTCAAAGATGATGTAATGATATTCCATTAAACTAAGGTTACATAACTTTCATCCAGGTTTAAATAGTTCCGCCCTATCAATAATCTTCCACGTAATAATAAGCTTTGAAAATCCCTTTTTTCCATTTCCCAGATATATTTAGAAAGTTCTGTGGTATTAGCTTTACTTTCGTATTGAAAGCAGTTCTTATGCTTGTACCAGCGATCTTTAAAGGTGCGCTCTGTTAAACCAATATAATTTAAACCGTTATCCTGCGGTAAAGTTTTTACATTGAAGACGTAAATTATATTTTTACTGAGCCACGTACATTGCAAAGAACATTGTGAAAGTTGTCGGCAGTTACACATTAGAACAATTGTGTTGGAAATATTAGATAATACTTTTTTATTGTGCGAGTTAATAATATTGGTGACGTTTGGAAGACAGCTATAACTGACTTTTAAATTATTCCTGTTAAAAATTTTGCGTTTTTGAAAAATACTTTTCGATAAGATTTAGAAAATTTTTTGGTTTTGACATTTTGCGAAAACGGAGGATTAAACCAAATGTTTCGTGATCTTGATTTTAGTTTTGATAGGGCGATATTTTTTTGGAAAGTAATCTTTTCATTAAACCCACTTGCTGCTAACGCGTTGTTATAAAACGATATTGCTCTATCGAAAACTTCCTTGGTAGATGAAATATTGCTAATACGGTTAGATATCATAGTTGGCATGGATTTAATAATACTAGGAGGGTGGTTAGAATTTACGTTGTATAATGGGTGGTCACCTGGTTTTCTGTATGGCTATAAAGTATTTTCTGACAGGTTGAAGGTAACATCAAGAAATTTTAAACTTTTTAAGTTGGTTTTATCGTAGGTTTTAGATTATATTTCTTCTTAAAAAATTGAACGATGTTTTTTTTTTATTCTCTGGGATTGCGGTCCATTAATTCCATGAAAACAACAAAGCCCATCACCTCTATATAATCCAACGGTTTGCAACTTATTGTCTTGATTTAAAGTATGTAAAATAAAGAGTCCATCTAACTTACACACTTCAGCCCCATCGTAACTTCCCATAGTGACGTCAAAATTAGGATCATCAAATTTTTTGATCCAGATACTATTGTGTTCAGTAAACAGTAATGATTTTCTTGAGTGATTAATAATATATAATGTGTTTTCTGAAATTTCTGTAAATTGCTTTGTGTGAATAAGAGTAATTTGAAGTAATTCTTTATAGATAGAAGGATAGAACTCTTCGATATCAACTGGATAATTGTGCAGTTGTGTTTGTCATTAATATTGCAGAACCAATTTATTATGTCATCCGTATTATGCCATTGATTTACAAGGGTGGCTTTTATTGCCACGAAAACACGAAAACAATTTCTTATCTGCAACTTTAACGTCATCTAAGCTAACACTGTATTGTATTTTTGTATATAATTTTTGTTGTTGTTATGGTTGTTTGTAACGTCTGACGATCGCATAAAGCAAGAAACTCTCATTCATGTTACAAATTTAATTGTATTTTTTTATTATTTTAATGTAATATATTTGCTCTACGTTTTGTATTGAGCACTGTCTACCGAAAAATTACTCTTATTACTGGTGTATATATATATATATATATATATATATATATATATATATATATATATATATATATATATATATATATATATATATATATATACACATATATATATAAATATATATATATATATATGTATATATATATATATATATATATATATATATATATATATATATATATATATATATATATATATATATATATATATATATATATATATATATCAGGCGCGGATCCAGCATTTTTTGATGTTTGAGATAACTAACTTCCAGACAAGGTACAAACCCCAAAAATTTATATGTTTATACTTATGTCAAATAAAGATGATTTGCAAAAAATTGCGATGATTGGAGTCTGGGAACAAAAAAGCCCCAAAATTTTGGCCACACAAACCCCAAACAAGAGAGCAACAAGTTGATAAAATATTTTTTGTACAATTCTCAAGTAAATTTATATTCATCGATAAATTCTAAATTTCATACAATAATCTCTTAGTGTTCAAAAATAATAATTGCACAAAGCTTTAACCCCCCTCAATTTGAGGGGGTTACAAATTTTGGAAGGTCATGTTTTTTGAACACTAAGAGATTATTGTATGAAATTTAGAATTTATCGATGAATATAAATTTACTTAAGAATTGTACAGAAAATATTTTATCAACTTGTTGCTCTCTTGTTTGGGGTTTGTGTGGCCAAAATTTTGGGGCTTTTTGTTCCCAGACTCCAATCGTCGCAATATTTTGCAAATCATCTTTATTTGACATAAGTATAAACATATAAATTTTTGGAGTTTGTTCCATGTCTGGAAGTTAGTTATCTCAAACATCAAAAAATGCTGGATCCGCGCCTGTATATATATATGTTTATATATATATGTTTATATATAAATGTATATATATATTTAAATAGCAGCGGGTGTTAGTTATGACACAATATTAATGATATAATATTCTAAGAATTGTAATAAATGCATTGTAATAATTTAGGGAAGTTAAAAACAGCGACATAGATTTTTTTGAACT